GGTAAGCTGATTACAAAGCTACATTCACAGTGGAAACACTCAGAATGCTCAATGGAATTATGAGAAAGTAGAACAGAGATTGATATAATATGACTTCAATACTTACTTATATTTATACTAAAGATACAACAATTAAAAATATATACAATATTTATGAAAGAATAAAGGGGGGGTGTAGAAAAAAGGCCAAGAACAAAGATATGAAAATATTGTCAACTTTTAATCAGATCAAAGGAAATTTTTAGCAAGAAAAAGTGTGATTATGGCTAATGTTACCAATCTATCTATAATCCTATTAGCATAGAAATTAAATAAATACAGACATCACAACTTTCATAAAATCAGCCCAAAGTGACCTTTAAATTGTTTTTGTCCCTCTAGCTACTAACATTTCTTCCAAAGACTGAAACCCCATGCTCTAGAGATCTCTCTGCAAATGAAGGTGATTCCTTGCTATGGTTCTGCAGCCATGTATACCTCCTTGTGGTATAAGAAAAATGCAGTTTTGATTTGAATTCTGAACTATCATGCACCTACACCATGCACACCTGAGAAATCTCACAGATCAGAAACTCCTTTTGTCCTCTGGAACTAAATTTCACTTAATCACACCATTGTGGGAGGTGGAAAGAGAAAGTTAACAGTATTCTAGTCATGTATTGATGAAAGGTGATCCCATCACCATCTTTCTAACAGTTTCTAAACTACTTGTAACATTTACGAGAAAAACCTGAGAGTGGAATGTCATCCTCAGAACTTCTAGTAAGAAGACCTTCAGTTTTCCAATCTGTCTCCCTCTGCACACAAAATGCAGTGCTCATGTGTGCACACTGGACTACAAGCATCATATCCTCCCATTCCAGGGCTGCAGAGTCTCCCACTTCCCAGGAAATCCATAGACAGGGAGGCTCACAGGACAAGGGCCATTGTCCAAGTCACCACATGGCCACACATAATCAGTCTGGCTTAAGGTCCATCCAATTCCAAGCAGAAATGACAGCACAGCAGACCTGCTCTGAACATGCCAAACTCAGCAAGGCACAGCTTGTTGTCTTCCTTACAACTCACTCCAGCAAAAGCAGAGAGGAATCCCAGAAAGAACCCGAAAATTAAGCATCACCAGTAATCCTGATTTCTCAGACTTCCCAAAGTTCCTCATTGGTTAGTGCCTCATTGGATGTGCCTCTGAATGCTAGCAGCTCCTTTACTGGGTTAGACAAGATCAAATGACTCAGGCAACACATTCCTTCTAGCTCTGACCTTCCAGGGCAATAGAGATGACCTTATCTTCTATTCTCATGAACACATCCTGATCTTCATCCTAATCACATGTTTCCTGTGTGCACATTCCATTACACATGCAATGTCTAGTTCAGTGAACCCATTGCCTCATACATGGAAAATCCTGCAGACAAACACAGGTCACAGTCAACTGTTGTTAAAGAAATAGAAGTAATGAATTAGAAAACAATGAGGCGTCATGGTATGCTTGGAAGCAAGAAGAGAATGTGAAGATAATGGAGATATAATCTCAAAATTAATTTTGAAATGTTGAAATAGACTTTATAGCCATGTGGTCCAGACTAGGGATTAGAGCATATCAAAGAGTTCTCGCACCTTTTCTCTAAGGTGCACATCTTAAACGAGAAAAATAACAGCCTTTTAGGAAGGATCACAACAGTTTGCTTATTTGTCAAGCAGGACTGAACATATCTGCATAGGACTCTGCTTAATTACACCTTCAGTATTCATTGCATCAAGATAACCGTTCTAAACTGTACACCGACACTGATCTGTGTTCATTCACATGATATGAATTAAAACATGCTGGGAAATCACTCCCATGACCACAATTAAGTCCTTTATCATAATGCTGATTCCAGGAGCTGGTTGCCTACCCTGTTTCCCTGGCAAAGTACAGAATAAATTCTTCCCCCTGTTTTGGTCAGAAGACAGAAGCAATGTTCCATATGTGGATCCTTTTCCTGTGACTGCACTGGAGAGCTGACTAAATGACTCAAACAGATTATTTTAAAACTGAGATAGATGGTACAGTCATGCAATTTAATAATATTGAAGGTATAATATAGAGGACAACAAGGCCAGTTTCTTGAGTGCAACAGACTGGAATCGGGGCCACCCAACTCAACCTTAGAGATCCTATCTCAAACACAGTTTTTCCAAGAGGATGAAAAACAACAGTTCTAGAAATAATATGCCTTTATGTGAAAAATCACTTCACATAAAGTTAATTAACAAAGAAAAATCTCGTTATTGATGGTCTTATCCATCTCTGCCTGAAGCTTAAACAATTCAAAAGAGATAGGGAATTTGTAGGTCTAGTCACCCAGGCAGACGGGAGGGTTAGACAGCAAAGATGTTCCCAGAACACTTTCGTAAGTACACCAGTGGCATGAAACATTGGCAGGGTCCTGTGGTGAAGGTCACAGGGGTTGAGGAAGATAGGACAAGTAGAAGGTAGCGAAGTGATAAGTAGCCAAGCATTGGTGGCACAGGCCTTTACCCAGTATTCTAGAGGCAAAGCAGGCAGATCTCTGGGAGTTCAAAGCCAGCATGGTCTAAAAGAGTTAGTTCCAAGACATGTTTCGAAGCTACAGAGAAACCCTGTCCAAAAAACGAAAAACAAAACAAAACAAAAAAAAAAAAGATAAAAGCTAGGGTGGGGATTTCTTGCACACGTCAAGTTCCATGCCAAGTAAGTTTCTTAAGACCAGAATCTTGTATCCAACTTCTGGGGGGAAATGGAAGGAAAAGAAAACTTCCCACAGGTCAGGGAACCCTAATTGCTCTTCGAGCTGATGAGGGAGGGAGACTTGATCGGGGGAGGGGGAGGGAAATGGGAGGCGGTGGCAGGGAGGAGGCAGAAATCCTTAATAAATAAATAAATTTAAAAAAAAGAATTTCAAAGAAAAAAAAGAAAAGAAAAAACAACAATAAAAAAAAACTTCAATGAAGTCAGCAGAAACTTGCATACATAGTACAAATTCAAGGGGAGGCTAATCAAACAATGCTACACAAGGGGAACATGGGGTGTTATGTGATCATTACTAAAACCAAAAAGGCCTTGGGATTGACAACCATAGTGTTAGGCGGGAGCCTAGGCACCAGTCCCTGGCATTTATCTCAGCCCTCAGGCCTGGTCTGGACTTCAAATCCCAGCAGGCCAGTCCTTACCCCTCCCTGGGGGTGAGGTCAGGACCACTCCCCAGGGTACTTAAGTGATCCCCCAAAAGAAGAACACGTGGTCCCCCTTTCTTCTTCCCTGGGTCGCATTCCTGCGGCTTCCCAGTTTCCCCCTAGGGGCCACACGAAAGCGCAGATCTCCCATTAAACCTGGATATTTCTTAATTCGGCTTGTTTTGATTTGGCTTGATTGGGAATTTTTGCATCCTCAGAGAGCTTGCTTAGGAAATATTCCTAACACATAGCTCTGAGGAGTTCTCAGGATCTATAGCAACACTTCCACAAAGGCCCTGACCCCAGGCAATTACCAAAGTTGTTCTATTCAACTGTCAATACATCAGACTCTAGGGAAGCTTACAAAGCCTAGGCCTTAGGCTGATATTCTCTCTCCCAAGAATGTCCCTTCTCCCTGCTGGAGAGCCTAAAATAAAAGCCTTAGTTGATCAGGTCAGTACTTCACACAACAGTGTTTCATTTTTCAAAAAGCTGTCACCTGGTGTCATATTACCCATTAGGCCGAACTATGCTTTTCTCTAAAAGAAAACAAAACTACTATGGCACACCAGGCCTTAAAGTTGGCTGTGACCCTGTTACTCCCCTAGTTATAGGGCTGGGTTTTTTTTTCTTTTTTGATATGCAGATGGACCTAGTACCAGGTTGTATACCAGGGAAGACTTCTTTGTAAAGGTTTGGAGGCAAATGTCCGAAAAACCCTGTTGAATAAATGTGCATTTAGTATCCTAATCTCTAACAGGCCTGGTCAGCATATGCCCTGTTCTCTGGCAGCAACAGCTCCTGACAGGATAGAGCCTCCTTACAAGGGGCACCAATCTGCCTGGTTCTCAGGCAAAAAGAGCAGGGGCAGAGCCTGACTTGCCAGACTCTCTGTGGGGCTGAAAGGGATGATGAGGGTCACAACTCAGCCACCCTCCCCACGGGGCACCAGGGAAAAACACACCCACTGAGTAGGGTGTCTTTTGAAGCAGAAACTCCGTTATTGGTATCAAACAGGGACTTATATAGAGTTGTGATGGGGGTAGAGAAGCCTGGGATGGGCCAAGGTAGAGTAAGGAACAAGGGCCAATAGTACTTTGCCATGTTAGTGCTAACTGGGTAGAGGCAGGTCTTGGTCCAGGTAGTCAGAGACAGGTCTTCAAAAATCTGGCTAGACTCAGAAAGTTACACTAGGCCTCAGGCCAACTCAAGTTAGGCTCAGGAAAATACAATGGGAAATATTCAAGACCCTGCTTCATGAGGCCCGACAAGTATACAGAGACAGCCCTACCTCCCTTAAATTCTACTTTTTGAGACTTAATATTTTCTAAGTATTGAAAAATCCTTAATATTAGCAATTCTACTCTTCTACATCACGGCATGGAAGTGGAGGGATACCCCATACATGGTTGATTTTACAACCTCCACGATAACAACAGTAAACAGATCTCACACATGAAGGTAAAATGCACAGTGCTTAACATCTAGGACATACTAGAGAAACTAGACCTCCATGAGTTTGGCAACCTGCTTTCCATGAAAGCACTAAAAGCATTCTGATGTTGCCTAGAAAGAGGTTTCTCCACACAGCTCCCTGCTCCCAATGCTCTGAGAAGATTCAGCCCACAGTGCCAAGTTATTCAGAGACCTGCCCTATTCAGGGAGTTGCAGGCACCACGTTGAGCTGGAAAGCATGCGCAGAATCTGCATTTCCCATGCAGAATTGGAGAGGAACCACCACACCGGTTCCAGCATCTCACCATCTGTTCCTCCCAGTCCAGGGACAGCAGCCCCTCACTCACCATGTCGGGTTTCCTTGCTTTCCCAAGCGCTCCACGCAGTTTCCTGGAGGAGTTTTCGTTGAACAGCACACAAGACTGGCTCCACTTCCACTACACTGCGAAGCTGGAAACAGGAAGCGCCCTCCACCATTTCTGACTGGCAAATTACCTGGAGTTCCTGATTGGGTAGTGATGCCTGAGTGACAAGTGCACCTCCCATAGGGTGAGCCTCTTCTTAAAGACACAGCACAGTATTTGCTGACCCCGCTTTCCAAACCAAAGACCTTTTCTAGATCAGAAGATATGTGCTTTTCAATAGCACTTGCCCTTGGATCTGGTTCCAGACCCTACTATCTTCCTGTAGGCACTTCTCCTTCTTCCACCTGGACACACATGGCTGTTTCACAGCCCACTATTCTTTGTGGATAGAGTAATTCCTTGTCACAGGAGTGGAAGGATGCCCAGAAGAGATTTAAGGACACAAAAGGGAGTATTTGTTCTGTGGTTCAATGCTGAGGTAAAAATGAACTAAAGGTACTTTTTTCCTGGGTGTCACATGTACCTCAGAAAATCAGGAAAGAAAAGTAGGAACCAGGTCTTGGTGAGGGTGCAGGGCAGGTGGTAAGGGCGGTGGGAGACTTGGTTAGAGGTGGTCCAGGTTGGGCATGGCGGGGTAAGTGACTCAGGCGGCAGGCCCAAGGCTGATGTGAGGAGGGGTGGAGAGCGCCTGGAACTGGCGACCCAGAGCTTCAAGCTGACCAGATGAGGGTTTCCAGCGTCCTTAGAGCGCCCAGGGAGGAGCGTGGGGCGGGTCTAACTGTGGGGTTCAGCGGGGCAGGCGTCTGATATCTGGGCACAGTGCTAGCACCATCCAGCCCTAAACTTGTTACCAACAGGCGACCGCGGGAGCCCCTAGCAGCCTGCAGCGGAGGGGGTGGGCGGGGAGAGAGAGGGGAAGGCTGGAAGACGCTGAGGCGAACCGGTGGGCAGACCGGAAGTCGCCGTGAAAGCCCGGCGGCTCAGTACCCTGCCTCAGGCACACCTGCGCAGCAGCGGAAGTCCTTCGTCGCAGCGCCGTCCCTGTTACAGCCTGCTCCAAGCCCGCTGAGTAGCTGCCAGTCCTTGTGGCGGTTCGCGCAACTTTGACCAGGGCCGGGTCGCGGGGGAGCTGGAAAGCGGAAGGCGCGCGGCGAGGATCGTGGCAGGGGCTGCTGAGCCGGCAGCCTATTCGGTGCTGGCGGTCAGTCCTGTGCATTCGGCCTCCCCGAATCTGGGACGAATTCCCTCTCCAGACGACTTTCCAAATTAATTTTTTTACTCTTTTATTTTATTTTGGGGTCGGGGAGGGGAGGCGGGAGGCCGCGCTTGATTGACGGGCCCAGAGAGTGCTTCGCTAACTTCCAGCTGGTGCTGCGCGGTCGGTGGGAGGGGAGAGACCTGGAACCTGAGGCTGGAGACTTGGCTGCTCTCTGAAGGTGGAGGCGCCTGGTTCCCGCAGATTCCTGATTTGCTTTTTTCCACCCCCTCCATTAGCATATGTTCTTTTTGTTCCAGTCAAAAGCGGTAGGTCTTGGCGATTTGGGGACTTCTATGTGGATGAGATTTTTCTTTTCTTTCACCCCCGAGTCAGGAAAAGAACGTGCTATTCGCCTCCAGTGGTGGGCTTTTAGAAGTAGAAGTTCTACCAGAGACGTTTAGCAAGTTGGGTGGCAGTCAGGAGCCCTTGCAGCAGGAGTGTTCAATCCTGTGACTGAGCTCAGCCACCACCCCAGGCTGCCTCTCCACCTGTACTTCCGTTTACGTGGTGGGAGGGCTTGACAAGACCTTGTACAACTCTGGAGGCGTCGGGAGCAGCTCTAATTACTAGGAGATGGCCCTAAGATTAGAGCTAAACCAATGTATTTGTAAACAATAGAACCATGAGTATTTTACTTAGGGAGTTTGGACATATTTGTGTGGAGTTCTGTGTATTCCTAAGCATGTTCAATTATGAAATCCACTTCTGAACATAACCACTACAGGCTATAAGAGCCTATAAAGGAAACATCAATCGCTGAGCACACTGACCCTGAACCCAGAACCAGTGAAACAAATGCATCCTGGATCTGAGACCTGAGCCAGGGAAAGAAACATTTTATCCCTGAACCCAAAACCTAAGAAACACGTGCTGACTCTCACACCAGGACCAAAGAAGCATCCATTGTCCCTAGAATCAGAGCCGGTGAAAGAAATATTCCCTGGCGCTAAGATTAGAGCCAAAAGTCTAAAAAGGACAAGTGACAGAAAAACAGTTTGGTCCTGAAATCAGAGTCATTCTTGACCAACTAAACTAAGCAATCCCTGAGACAGGAAAACTAATCAATCCCTGAGAAGATAAACTTCTCCCTGGGTAAACTCCATGCCTATAATACAAGAACCTGGCTGGGACATCCCTTTGGGAACTAAGCTGAAAAACATTTCTAAGATTCTCCCTTAGGGAGGATTAGCAAGGCTGAGCAGAAGTAACAACTTTTTTCTGGAGATAAAGGAAATTGTTCCGTTTCTGCAGGGCTTCCCCTTTAGCACAGTGTTAGCAGAAGTATCTTCTTGGATTGCCCAAGAAAGGGATAGCTCTATTACTTTCCCTTAGGGGAACAGAGAAGAGCTTAGCTGTAGGGGTACTCCAGGAGAGGAGGGTTACTGCTATATCCTGCAGGGAGAACAGGAGTCCCCACTGCTTCCCAGCTACAGGTAGGCTGACTTCCCAATAAGTCAAGACACTTTCCTCTTCAGGGCCAAACTGTCCCATTGTGGCTCTACCCCTCCCGAGGTGTCCTACTGTGGCTCTACCCCTCCACAGCTGCCCTATTGCAGCTCTAGGTATAGCCTGGCTTCCCTGTGAGTCAGAATCTTTGAGGTCCAGAGCTCTTAGTCTCACACTTACTTACAATCACAATGTAAAATCAGGGACATTTAGGGACAGTCTTACCTCAGAGTCATGCAGGAATATATATAAATTACAAAAATGATAAAAAAGAAATGTCTTTGGCTAGTTCATCTTGTACCACAAGGTATTAGATAAAAATCAAGAAAATGACACTGAAAAGTAGACTGCTTTGGAGCCTATGTAACATGTCAATCTTGATGCTTGATCGAAAAGATAACTATACCAATGCTATAGTTCTCATAGATACAAAAGAGGAAACAAATACAAAAATGTCTAGGAATTGTCACCTAATACCACTGTGCACTGTGCTCCCATACGAACCTTTAAGATGATCTATCTATATTAAATTCAAAACAAAGCAGGTTTTGCCACTGAGCAGGCTGGCTTGGCAGAAGGCCACAGCTGTTTTCATGCAAGACCAGTAGTAGTTCATGTTAACTAGCTCTGGCTGCTATCTCTCTGAGGACTGTGACACACTGTTGAAAACTCCTTTCCTTTTTCTAATTTATTTATTGTGTTTTAGTTCTATGGTTTGTGGGACCCTCACCCCTTATTTTCAAAGGGGCGAGAAGAAATTTCCTAACAGAATGTTTTCCCTGGAGGATAGTGGCCTTCCCCTCAACAACCCAGCAGATTCTGAGCACAGGTCACTTAACTCATCCCAGCCTGCCACCTGGTACAGGCTGATAAAGATGGCCTAACTCAAGAACAGTGCCCTTGCTCTAAAAACAAGGAAAAAGCTGACTTAACAGAATGGGAGAGAGCAAAAGTCCTTGTACACATGGCAAAGCATCTTCAAAGATTCTCTTTGTAGTTATGCCTTTAAATGCTTACCCTACAGAGGAGATCCAAATCCTCTGTACACCTCGCTGTAACGGGGATGGAGATGAGTTCCAAACATGTTTGTATTATGCTGATTAAACCTTGCTTATTACAGTCTGGGCCTCTCTGGTGGTCTCTCTCGGGGGGGTCATAACATTTGGTGCATTGGCCGAGAACCCCAGAGATTCCACCAGGATGATGGAAGTTTGGAGGTTTAATTAGCATCTACCCATGAGAGAGTGCTCTTTGTCTTTTGTCTCTTGTCTCTTTGTGTTTATCTTTTTTTCTTGTCTGACTGACTATGGATGCTTTGGTTTTGTACCGGTCAACTGATTTGCGATTTTGGTATTGACAGGTGTTCTCTGAAATGAACACACTTGTACAGAGACCCTGGAGAAGCAAGGGACACCTTGTCTTTCATTTTCAGACAGGTAGTTTTGCTCCCGGGTCATTTCCAGACAGGGATGGGAAATCTCCCATTCCTGGGTCATTTCTAGACAGGGGCCTTTCGGCTCCAGGTCATTTCCAGACAGGGAGTTTTGTTCCCAGCTCATTTCCAGACAGGGATGGGAATTCTCCCAGTCCTGGGTCAATAGATAGGAACAGCATTCTCCAAACCCTGTGTCATTTGCAGCTACCTCAGAAACAACTGTTTTGGTTTCTCCCACCAAGGGAGAAAATGCCACTGTGTGTCTTGTCCCAGGAATTTGTCAAAGACTTTTTGTGTTATGTTATGGTAATTGTTGCTTTGTTTTCTTTCTGTCTCCTCAACTAATATCCTCAGGGTCCTAGGGCTCCTATGGAGCCCCAGACTCCCCCCCCCCCCCCCCCAGCCGTTAGGATGGAGAGGAGAGAGGCAAAATCTTGGAGAGAGCCCAAAAGGAACTGGGCACAGAGAGGGTAGGGAGTACAAGCCTGTGACTTGGAATGTCTTTGAGGCCACTACATCAGGTGCATTGTGATCCCCTGAAGTTCCAGAAAACCGTTGTCTCTTTGTTTATTATGTTTAAGACTGGACTGACGAGGACTGAAAAAAAAAATGAGATAAAACTTAAATCTAAAATGCAGATGACTTGACAGCAGCCCATCTAGGGTCTGTATCCCTAGCCCTGAGCCAGGTCTGATGGCAGAGAATAAGCTGCCTGGGTGCTGAGAGCTAAGCCCTGAGACTGTGGAAAATGCAATGCAGCAGAGGATCTTTGGGGCCTGCATGGCTCCAAGGCCAGGGATTAGCAGCACCTGGGATAGAGCAGGGGCAAAGTCATCATGCACCTGGCTGAGGGCAGAGGAATGCCTCTTCTGAAGGCAGGCTGTGGAGCTAAGGACTGAGAGAGGCCTGAACAAGGCAGCCCCCCTCCCTTGTTCTCTCTCTGAATCTTGAGGGTCTTTGCCTTAGTCAGGAGAGAGGGACCTGCACGCCGGTGGCAGGTAATTGACCACTTGCAATTAAAAAACTGTGAAAATGTAAAACAGAAAATCTGAGATCATGGTTAGAGAAAAGTTACCAAAAACCTTTTTTTAAAAAAAGCATTGGCAGCCAAGGACACTCTCGGTGCCTCTTTTCTTTTCTGAGCCAAGTTCATCAGTATGATATAACACTCAAGGTCTCTTCTGCTGGCCAGCAGTTTCCCATCTTAACCATTTCCTGTCCTGATACTGCTTATAAGAAGTTTTCAATTATACCAACCTGTAACTTTAAAAAAATGTTGACTTTAAAGTAAATGTATTATGCTTAAAAATGCTTTTGTTTCCACAGGAAAAAAAATATATGGGTTACAAATACT